GTCCTCACTGACAACCTCGTGTTCTCACCGACAACCTCGTGTCCTCATGTCCTCACTGACAACCTCGTGTCCTCACCGACAACCTCGTGTCCTCACTGACAACCTCGTGTCCTCATGTCCTCACTGACAACCTCGTGTTCTCACCGACAACCTCGTGTCCTCACTGACAACTTCGTGTCCTCATGTCCTCACTGACAACCTCGTGTCCTCATGTCCTCACCGACAACCTCGTGTCCTCGTGTCCTCACTGACAACCTCGTGTCCTCACCGACAACCTCGTGTCCTCATGTCCTCACTGACAACCTCGTGTCCTCACTGACAACCTCGTGTTCTCACCGACAACCTCGTGTCCTCATGTGCTGACTGACAACCTTGTGTTTTCACCAACAACCTTGTGTCCTCACTGACAACCTCGTGTCCTTGTGTCCTCACTGAGAACCTCGTGTCCGCACCGACAACCTTGTGTTCTCACTGACGGCCCCGCCTCCTCACCGACGGCCCCGCCTCCTCACCGACGGCCCCGCCTCCTCACCGACGGCCCCGCCTCCTCACCGATGGCCCCGCCTCCTCACTGATGTCCTTGCATCCTCATTGACGGCCTTGCATCCTCACTGATAACCTCGTCTACCTCCTTTTTTCCGTCCCCTTAGTGCTTTGATCTGAACTAAAGATAACTTCAATATGATTTTAAAGCGTGATCATTTGGTTAGTTTTCCCCTTTGGACTTCTGACATAGGCATGAGCAGCAAGAAGACTTGCGTGGCAGCCACTGTGAGATCCTGTACTTGGCTTAGGAGGCGCAGTCAGGCAGGGGAGAGTGGGTGCTGGATCCTGACCACTCAGGGCTCTCACCACACTTAAGCCCTATGGGTGTCAGTGATGACAGCAGGAAACTCGGCTACCCACCCCCCACGGCCTGTGTGCTGGTTTCGTCTGGAAGGACAGCAGGGGGCTGGAGTGGCTCATGGGGGCTAGAGTGGCTGGCTGGGGGCTGGGGTGGCTGATGGGGGCTGGAGCGGCCGGCCAGGGGGCTGGAGCGGCCGGCCAGGGGGCTGGAGCGGCCGGCGGGGGGCTGGAGTGGCCGGCTGGGAGGCTGGAGCGGCCGGCCGGGGGGCTGGAGTGGCGGCCGATGGGGGCTGGAGTGGCTGCCTCAGGAGCCTGTCCTGCATGGTCGGGGCAGCTGAGCAGTGGGACGATGGCTCTGTGGCCCCCGCGGTCTCTAAAGTCCTGTGATTCCAGAGTTAACTGTTGATACTGATAAATAGCGAGAGACAAGCATCTCCAGGCACAAATCTGGTGCTCTGGCTATCTACTCGAGTAGGTGTCCCAAAGAGGGCTTCCCAGTACTGTGAGGGTTTTGGATCCTGTGGCGGCACAGCAGCTGTTCCACCACAAAGGCTGTTCCACGCACTTTCTTGTGAGGCTCCCAGGATGTCCTACTGGGCTTGAGGCTGCGGGGGGAGCCCAGCTGGCTAGACACCCACATTTCTGGAGTTGCCAGGCCCACATCCAGATGCCAGGCCCAGGGGCTTCTCAGAGCTGGTGCTGGCTCTCTGCTGAGACTGGTCTGGGGGCTCACCTGTGCTGGGCCCCTCTTTCTACTCACCTGGCAGGCGCACCTGTGCTCATCACACTGGGAAATACCCCCATGAGAGCCCTGACTAGGCATGGTGGGGACCTCTGTGTTAGCAGGCTTGGCTAAGTGGCCATCGCTTCAGAGATGATGGTGTCTCCTGTGGTATTTAGCAAAGCACAGCTAGGGGCTCTGGGCAGCAGAGCCCCAGCGGTGCTTGTGAGAAAGGGGGTTCTTGGGCCACCTCTGTGCTCAGATGTGCTCCCTGAGGTGGGCCCAGGAGCCTGCAGTTTGCACAGGAGCTCCAGCTGGTTCCTTCCAGACCCATTGGGAGTTCACGCAGGGCAGCGCCTTCCCCGCACTCAGGGTGGTGCCTTCTCTGTCCCCAGAGCTCATGAGCCTCGTGTCTGGGCTGCTGCAGCCCATCCCTGAGCAGCGCACCACTCTGGAGAAGCTGGTGGAGGACCCGTGGGTGACACAGCCCGTGAACCTTGCAGACTACACCTGGGAGGAGGTGTGTCGGGTGAGCAAGCCAGGTGAGCTGTGCTGGGAATGGGGAGGGTCCCGAGGCGGAGGAGGTGAGGGGAAGGAAGAGAAAGACAAGAAGGGAGGAGACGTCAGGGCTGACGTCAGTGGCTTCGTTCCCTCTCAGAGGCCCCTGAACACGCCTGAGCCCTTGGCCAGGTGGCACTGCAGGTGGGCGAAGTGGGGGCAGGTGGGCAGGGCGGGGACAGCTGCAATGGCCTGACTGGGCTGTGGGGGGAGGAAAGGTCACAGATGGTGAGCAGGGGTCTGGCTGTTCATGGCCCCCTCCTCCCTGGGGATCTGGTCACCACCGCACAGGGCAGTGTGGACCATGCTGGCATCGATGCCCTGGGCTTAGACTCCCCACAGCATCTCACGGGCTCTTGCAACTCTAGAACATTGCCAGCTGGGTCTGAACGATCCCTTGAGATTTTTGCTCCTAGGAATTCTTCCAGAGAGAAGCGAAGTTTGCATGTTGGAGTCTGTGCGCATGTGGCACTTAGAGTCTGTTTGTTCACATGTAGTAAGGTGTCTTCTCTCACTGCAGAGAGTGGCACCCTGGCCGGCATGAGCATGGAGACGGAGAGGAGGAGCCCGCGGGAAGGGCGCGGGGGCCCAGGCCCGGGGGCGGGTCCTAGCGGCCCCCCAGTGCCGTGTGCACAGGCGTCGTAGTGGCTTCTCCGCGGACCTGCCGGGCGCTGGCTCCTGCCTGTCTTCTCCACGACTAGGAAAGCCCTGCTGTCCACAAGTCATCCATCTGGGAAAGCACATCTTCCAGTGTGAGGCCCCGATAACTTACTCGTGTGCATCTGATCAACGCTGGCTCAAAAGCCTGCAGTACGCTGTTACCTCCAGGTTTATAAGATAGTAGGTGTGGAATTCATGTTTTCTAGTGTGACCTTGAGTTTTATACTACTAAAGGGCCCTAAATCTGGGAAGTTTCAAAAGGCATAGCAGAGTTTTAAAATTCTCTTTCTACTTTTACACGTGCGTGTGTTTTTGTTTCCCCTGACTTGGTATGTGCCCATCTGAGCATAGGTATGTGGGGTTTGTAGGATGGGCTAGCCAAAGGACCAGACTATTTCATCAATTTATTTTCTTGAGCATTTTCCAAATTAAAACGACTTGGCTAGTAAACAGTTACCCCGACTCGGAGTGTGTGGATTGTTCACACGCCAGGTGTGAGAAGCACTTCATTTCTTTGTTTTTCCGAAACAAGTCAAATCCATTTATGAGTCCCCACTTGCGGCGGGCACGGAATCCAGATGCAGAGAGTGAGCCCCACCAGTCATCCACACATATTAGATGCACCCCAGGGAAGGGCATAACTTGAGTCACGCCTTCCTGCAAGGCTTCGACCCAAGACACAGCCCACACCAATCCTGTCTCATCAACATGTAGAGGTCAGGATCCAAAACACATAAAATGGAGGACAATACTGGGAATCACGGCCTAGTCAAGTTGACACATAATCCCAACCATCGTAGGTTCCATGTACTTTATTTGCATAGTCCCACTCAATCATTGTGTGTGAGTCACAAAGACCATGACCTTGTTGTTGTTGGGTGCCCTTGAGTCAGTTCCGACGCATAGCCACCGTATGTTCAATAGAATGAAACACTGCCAGATCCTCCACCATCCTCACAATCGTTGTTATGCTTGAGCCCATTGTTGTAGCCCTGTGTCAGTCCATCTCATTGAGGGTCTTCCTCTTTTTCACTGATCCTCTACTTTTCCAAGCATGATGTCCTCCAGGGACTGGTCCCTCCTGGTAACACGTCCAAAGTATGTGAAACGAAGTCTTGCCCTCCTTGCTTTTGATGAGCATTCTGTCTGTACTTCTTCCAAGACAGATTTATTTGTTCTTTTGGCAGTCCATGGCACATTCAGTATTCTTCGCCAACACAGTAAAGGCATCAATTCTTCTTTGGTCTTCCTTATTCATTGTCCAGCTTTCGCATGCATATGAGGCGATTGAAAACACCATGGCTTGGGTCAGGCGCACCTAAGTCCTTAAAGTGACATCTTTGCTTTTCAACTTTTTAAAGAGCTCTTTTGCAGCAGATTTGCCCAATGTAATGTGTCATTTGATTTCTTGACTGCTGCTTCCATGGGCGTTAATTGTGGATCCAAGTAAAATGAAATCCTTGACTTCAGTCTTTTCTCTGTTTATCATTATGTTGCTTACTGGTCCAGTTGTGAGGATTTTGGTTTTCTTTCTGTTGAGGTGTAATCCATACTGAAGGCTGTGGTCTTTTATCTTCATCAGTAAGTGCTTCAAGTCCTCTTCGCTTTCAGCAAGCAATGCTGGGTCATCTACATAATGCAGGTTGTTAATGAGTCTTCCTCCAATCCTGATGCCCCATTCTTCTTCGTATGCTCCAGCTTCTCAGATTATTTGCTCAGCATACAGATTGAATATGGTGAAAAGATACAACCCTGCCACACACCTTTCCTGACTTTAAAGTACACAGTATCCTCTTGTTCTGTTAGAACGATTGCCTCTTGGTCTAAGTACAGGTTCCTCATGAGCACAATTAAGTGTTCTGGAATTCCCATTCTTCGCAATGTTATCCATAATTTGTTATGACCCACACAGTCGAATGCCTTTGCATAGTCAATAAAACACAGGTAAACATCTTTCTGGTATTCTCTGCTTTCAGGCAGGATCCATCTGACATCAGCAATGATATCCCTGGTTCCATGTTCTCTTCTAAATCCAGCTTGAGATTCTAGCAGTTCCCTGCTGATGTACTGCTGCAACCGCTTTTGAATGATCTTCAGCAAAATTTTACTTGCATGTGATATCAGTGATACTGTTTGATAATTTCTGCATTTTGCTGGATTACCTTTTTTTGGAATGGGTACAAATATGGATCTCTTCCAGTCAGCTGGCCAGGTAGCTGTCTTCCAAATTTCTTGGCACAGACAGAGTGATCTGTTTGTTGAAACATCTCAGTTGGTATTCCGTCATTCCTGGAGCCTTATTTTTCGCTCATGACTTCAGCGCAGCTTGGACCTCTTCCTTGAGTACCGTCAGTTCTTGATCACATGCTACCTCCTGAAATGGCTGAACATCGACCAGTTGTTTTGGTGCAGTGACTGTGTACTCCCTCCCTCTTCTTTTGTGTCATTTAGAACTTTCTCCATAGAATCCGTCAATATTGCAACTCGAGGCCTGAATTTTTTCTTCAGTTCTTTCAGCTTGAGAAACGCTGTGTTCTTCTCTTTTGATTCTCTATCCCCAGGTCTTTGCATGTCATTATAATACTTGGTCTTCTCGAGCTGCCCTTTGAAATCTTCTGTTCAGCTTTTTTACATCATCATTTCTTCCTTTTGCTTTAGCTACTCTGCATTCAAGAGCAATTTTCAGAGTCTCTCCTGACATCTGTTTCTTTTTTTTCTTTCTTTCTTTCCTGTCTTTTTAATGACCTCTTGCTTTCTTCACGTATGATGTCCTTGATGTCATTCCACAGCTCGTCTGGTCTTTGGTCGTTAGTGTTCAGTGCATCAAATCTTTTCTTGAGATGGTCTCTAAATTCAGGTAGAATATATTCAAGGTTATATTTTGGCTCTCCTGGACTTGTTTTAATTTTGTTCAACTTGAACTTGCATATGAGCAATTGATGGTCTGTTCCTCAGTTGGCCCCTGGCCTTGTTCTGACTGATGATATTGAGCTTTTGCATCATCTCTGTCCACAGATCATGGCTAGAAGGGCCATATTAAGTAATTCATTACACCACAGTATCTATTTAAGAATCAAGTCCTTTTTCTTCGTTCCGAGAGGTAAGTAGGTAAGACAACAAGAAATGCTTATAAATTAAGGCTTGGTGTTTACAAGTGGTGAAATTTCGGTAGCTGGAAAGCACACCTTCATTTTATTGTTTTTCATGATGCCTTCCTCTTGAAAAATGCCTTGGCTCTGTATCTGAGCATTTATGGGTCTAGATCTGAAATTGAAGAATGAAAACTAATTAGGCTGAAACATAATTGGCTCTCATCCTAAGAGGAATCCAGACTGCTTAGCCAGGACGGCTCTGGTCCTTTTTACCGGGTCATGGGCCACACCTCCTGTCATTTTATTGCTAGGGTCGTGTTTTTCAACAACTGTAAACATTTCCGGGAGTACCTTCGGATATTTAAACATCTCTAGAATATGTCTGTCCTTTTTGTGTATGTGGCCTTGGTATTCATGCTGAATACAGATTTTTTTACACAGTAAGAACGTTTAATATCTTTAAGTCTGAACCCATTTTCCTCAGACGACCTTGTGTTTACTCCACAAACTGCTTGGGGAAGGATTCTGGCTTTCTCCAGGGAAGGTACTGTTGCAGCACAAGAAGGGGCCCGGCTCAAACCGCCGAGGCTGAAGTTTCCTTTTCGTCCCGAGAGTGATTTCAGTGGAGCCCTGGTGGCGCAGCGGTTAGGAGCTCAGCCGCTAACCAAAAGGTCGGCGTTTCCAACCCACCAGCTCCTCCTTGGAAACCCTATGGGGCAGTTGTACTGTCCCGTAGGGTCGGCGTGGGTCAGAATCGACTCGACGGCAAGGGGTTTGGTTTCTGTCTGTTTTAAGAGTCTGCAGCGAAGGCACGGGAGAGGAGCCATGGCTGTGCCTGCGGAGAGCCGACCCGGGGGCGTCCGGCGGGGCGTCCGAGTTGCGGGCTGCCGCGTTCCATCTCCATGTCGGGGCTCCCTCTCGGAAGGCGCACGGCGCCTCCGGGACACCTGCCCGTCTCCCCGAGCTCTCCCACGTGCCGGTGTCGGCCGCGGGCGACAGGCGCGGGTCCACGGGGCCCAGGAGACGGAGCGCTCGCCGCAGCTCCCCGACCCAAGTGCCGGGGCCCGGCTCGAGTAGGAGAGAGCTTGGCGAGACGGAGCCGCGCGGCGCGGACCCCGGCGCAGGGCCCCAGCGACCCCCGCGGATCCCTCGGCGGCGGAACGCGCTTTCCGCGCCCTCGCGTTTGCGCCGGGGAGGGCGAGGTTGACGGACCGGGAGAGCGGATGTAGCCGGCCGGGAGAGCAGAAGGACGGACCAGGGAGAAGGGCTGCTTCCGGCGCCGGAGTGGACGTGATGGCGGCTCTCAGCCGTCAGGTGAGGTCTCACCCGGCGCCGGCATCCTCGGGGCGTCTCGTGCGGGCGGGGGCTGGGTCGGGGACGAGAAGGAGTCGGTGTCGTCCGGGCGCTTCACCGCCAGGCTGTGGGACGTGCGGCCGGAGCCTTCTGGCGCCGCACACCGGCCCTGCGGCTCTTTCTCGGCCGCCCTCAGTGCGGCCTCCGCCGTCTCCCCGCGACGGACCGGGCGCTGGGCGGAGTCCGGGGCTGAAGCCGGGACTTCCTGTCGTCCCGCGGGGAGGGAAACAGCGGGCTCAGCAGGGCGAGGGATGGAAGCTGGGAGCGGGAGCGCAGCGGCCGGCCGGGTTGGGCACGGAGCCGAGCGCCTGGGTCCGCTGGGCCCGCTGTGCCGGGCTCGGGCCCGAACCGCCGAGGAATTGGGAGGTGAACCGGGGTTCTGGATGTAAGTTGATCGTTTTCGGGGCGTGAGTTTAGGCCCTTGAATCTGGACACTAATCCGAGGCCCACGATTCAGACAGACAGGACCGGGGGGCTCGACGCAGACACCCCCCACGACCCCCGCGCTCTGGTGGAGCCTGGGGAGGAGGCGCCTGCGGGACTCTGAGCCGCCCTTTGACGCCCTGTGCTGTCCGCGAACGCCCCCACCGGAGGCTGCTTCGGGTAGACACGATTTTGCACGTGGCTTATGGAAAGTGTCCCGTTCACGTGGGACCAGGGCACTAGACACTCTGGCTGGGAAACTGTGCGGTGCCCATCCCATTGGGGTGGCGAGGAGTTGATTCCCCTTTCGTCCTGTGGTTTATAGGTCTTTGATTGGCACCGCCTGATCCCCCTCACCGGGGCCAGTGTTGCTCGACAGACGTCTCGTCTAGGAGAGCAGAGAAGGACGATAGCTTCTTTGTTGCCTCCACTGACTACAGTCTCCAGAGGAGGGAGCCTTGAGGAATTATCCCGTGTAAAATCCAGGAAGTACGTGCAGGAGTCAGAATGCAGGACGGATCTCACTCGGTGCCTCCTTGAGCAGCCGAGGACACCTGTGGATGGAGGGGCCTTGGGGCTGGAGACCATCACCACCTCCCTCCGGGACATGGGTTTCAGTGATGCCCACGTTGGTGAATTACTCAGCATACAGCCAGGTCCCAGCCCTCAACAGTTGCTGGACATCACTTCAGAATTAATACTCTTGGGTCTGAATCCGGAACCTGTGTGTGTGGCCTTGAAGAAAAGCCCTCAGTTGCTGAAACTGCCTATGAAGCAGATGAAGAAGCGCTCCAGTTACCTGCGAAAGCTCGGGCTTGGCGAAGGTACAGGAGGTCCAGACTTTGTACGTCATGCTGGGGACGTCAGGTGCGGAAACGGTAGCATAAGGTGTGATGGGTTAGGAGGGGCTCTGGGGACAAGGCAGCGCTGCTTGAGAGAAACGTGTGACGTGGCTCGGAGGTGAGGGGGAGTGACCAGATGGCGTTGGAGGAGGGAAGCACGTGTTGGGACAAGACAATCGAGTGACAGGACAGGGATTGTGCCGTTTGTTCATTGTGGGGTCTGTGGCACCTAGAACAGTGGAGCACACGGGAGGTGCTCAGAGGCATGTTGATCTACGATGTCGATACGTGTAGCTGTGTGTGCACGTGTGTAACCTTGGATGTTTACATGAACTTGAAGTCTCCCTAGGATGCAAAGCCCAAGGACACCCTCCCTTGTAAAGACTTAGACTCAGCTAAGTGTCCTGACATACTTGTGGAGCCTGAGATTTTTCCAGTTTTTTGTGGCTGTTCCCTTTAGCCACCGCATCCCACTCCCAACAGTCGCTAACCTCAAGGACCACAGAAGTTCCTTGGATCTCTTGAGGAGCCTCTGGAGAAGGCTGCTGTCATCCATGAGGGTCTCCAGGGACCCTTCCCCACATGGACCAGAGTGGCTCCACTATTATTTCTTCCATTCCTGACTCTTCCTGGGAAGATAGTGTTGGCAGGGGTTTGGAGACCCACTATTTCAGAGTCTGTCTTCAGGCCTTTCTCCAGAACATAGGCAAAAACTAGCTTTGTCTTTTCCTCTGAGCACGTTACCACTTGCTGTGTGACATAAAAGCCTAGACTTAAAAACATGTCGTATGTTGCAGTTATTTATTGGTAAACTCAGCATGGCCTTGAGAGAAGAGAAAGCCTAAACTTCTGAAATTTGTTCTTTTTAGCAAGACAATGACTAACTCAGCTATTAGGAGGTTTTTAGTAACAGTTTAGATAAGTGATTTTAAGTTTCCAGTCCCTACATTTTGTCCAACCGTTGAAAGATGGTACCTCATTTGGCCTGGGGTAGTCCAGTGTACACCAGTTATCCTAATACAGTTATTAATAGGGCTTAATTCACTCAGAAGGGCTCAGTTTGGATGATAAAATATGTGGTGCTCACCCTACTAACCAGGACATCAGTGTTTGTGGTTGTCCGTTGGGATTAATTCTTTCTGTTGTTTTGATTATGCTGATGAACTTAGGTGGCCAGCTCTTGAGAGGGTTGGTCGTGAATGCTCCGTGACTGCGGCATTTTGTTATAGAGGGAACACCAGCCACAGCCCAAACCCCAGGGAAGCTCGGTCTCATCTTCCCCTGTTATCTTCCCAGTAAATGCCTGTGGACTCTCATAGGTGAGAAGGGGGAGACCGAGAATATGAAGCTGGCTTCTTTCCGATTGGAGGTTAGAGAAAGTCATCGGGCTGGCGTCGCTCCGGCCCCTCCCATTTCCATGTGCTTCTTGGAAACCATATCTGAGATCAGCGTTTGCTGGGGGTCGGGGTAGGAGTTCTCATTTGTTGTTTAAATGCTGGCTTAAATTGGATGCAGCTAGCCCCTTGGGTTTCTGTAATACCAGAGTTACTTTTTTTTTTAATGTTCTGCAGGGAAACTGAAGAGGGTGCTTTACTGTTGCCCCGAAATTTTCACCATGCGTCAGCGGGACATCGATGACATCGTTGGGGTTCTCAGGGAGAAGTGTCTTTTCACAGTGCGGCAGGTGACAGAGATTTTGCACAGATGCCCCTATGTTCTTCGGGAGGAGCCCGGTGAATTGGAGTACAAATTCCAGGTGAGAGGGAACTGACAGGGTTAGGTGAGGAATGGCGAGCTTTCCAGAACTGTAGTAAGGTAAGCCATGTGGCTGAGAGGCCCCCGGGGCAGAGGGAGTGACTTAGATCTTGTTTGCACACTCTGACCAAGGAGCACCCAGTCCTGCTTCCCCCACTCCTTATTGCAGACTACACCCAACCTGCAAGCCCCATTCTCAGTGCCCAGGGCGGGACACTGGTGGGAATACTCGGTTTGAAGATAGCTAATACCTTCCTGTCTTTAGAACCTGTTCTGCATGTTGATTTTGGAAGTGTAGCTGTGACAGTTGTCCTAGTTTTTTGGTAATGATTGTGATGATTAGGTCAAGTCTCTGGATGTTTTCTGAGATCTTTTTCCTATTCTTTCCATGCTCATAGTTTTTTTTTTCCCTCTGTCTGAAAAAATATACAATATTCTCTTCCTCCCCCTTTATTTTCTGCGTCGTTTTCCCCCACTGTGAATTTGAAAATGCTGTGAAAATTGTCAGCTATCCTGTGAGTGCTGGGCCAGAGTGAGTATTCTGTCTTTGCTAACAGGACCATCCTCTTTGAGTCCCTTTGGGCAGGTTGAGTGTGCTACATGCTGGGGAGTGCTAGGCTGCGAGGTTCGTGCCTGAGTTCCTAAACGTGTATGTCTTTTCCAGTACGCCTATTTTAGGATGGGGATTAAGCACCGGGACGTGGTGAAGACTGACTTCTTGCAGTACTCAATCACCAAGATTAAGCAAAGGCACATTTACCTCGAGCGCCTGGGACGGTACCAGACCCCCGATAAGAAGGGCCAGACGCAGGTCCTTAACCCTTCACTCAAGGACATCTTCAGAGTCTCAGAAGCTGAGTTTTTGGTCAAGACAGCCTGTTCTTCTCCAGAGGAGTTTGAAGTTTTTAAGAAGCTCTTGGCTCGGGAGGAGGAAGAGGGGCCTGGAGGCTGCACGTCTGATGACAGCGCCAGCTCGGATGGAGATGTGGAGGACAGAGATGCGGAGGAGGAGTTTACTGATGGACGGGACTGAGATGGGAAGAGCCCCAGGTATATTAAAGGATATTTTAATTTTATCAAAGCTTTTGGGAGCTTCACTAGGATCTTCTCAAGTTATTTTACATCCTAAAACTGGGCTTAGGATGAAAAAATTAGTATTAGTCCCCTGAGAAGTTGGCAGGTCAAACTAAACGGAGACGTGTTAGTTTGATCTACTGTTGGGTGTCCGCCTGGAGGACCCTGTTCCGTTCTGGATAAAAGACTGACTCAGCTGTTAAAATTAGTGGGATGTGGTAGGTCGAAATGTGGCCTTAGTTTTTTCTTTTGAAACATGTTAGTGACAATTCCATGACAACGTGGAAGATAAGGTTTCTTCTCGGATCAAGAGCCCATTTATATTTTCTCTTAACAGGAAGATAAAATTAAGAGAAGGCAGCAAGGTTTTAGTACATCACAGCACTTTATTTTATAAAAACAAGTAGCAGGTTTTCCACAAAAATATCAACGTTTTTAATCCAAAAATATCTTACTGCTTCGTAATTGCATTCAGTGTACAGCAGAGTACAAGGAGTCGGTTAGTGACGTTTGCTTCAATTTGACACAGCTTCTTGCTGCCACGAGGCACTGGGGCTTCCCTGTCTGGATGCTGCTGGCCCAGCGAGTGGGGACCAGGCCCTCCCTGGCCCTGACCTCGTGATGCTCTGGGCCAGTGCGTCACTCTCAGGCCCTGAGCCTCCAGTCATCATGTGCTGACTTGGGAGAATGCAGAGCAGGACGGGGCCCTGCCCGTCTCACAGGTGGTCTGGGAACAAAGGGGGGAAAGCACATGCCCCGGTTGTGGAGCTGGACCTGGAGTCGGGACCAAGGATCTGTCGGCTATTCCAGGTGCTCTCCACGGTGCCCAGAGGTGGTGAAAGTCACCCGGGGGAGCCCAGTGGGCGTGAGGAGCAAGGCCAAGCTGTGACAGCGTGGGCTCTGTGAGGGGCCAGGAGGACTGGTGTGTCCTAGAACATTCTAGATTGCAGAACAAGGTTGACACTGCAGGAAGCATTTTTGGTGATGTAGCATCGAGTCAGGTCTCGTCTCAGCCTTTGAACAGCTCTTGGCGCCCTGGTGCTTGGCCCCGTGGAAACCCTGCCAGGCGGCGGTCCTCCCTCCAGGGGCATCGGGCGATGTCAAGATGTTTGTGCCTGTCACGGCTGGAGGAGGGTGCTGGTGGCATCTCGAGTGGAGGCCAGGGATGCTACTAAACACCCGACAGTGCACAGGATGACCCCCCAACAGAGAATTACCCGGCCCAAATGTCGACAGGGCCGACTGGAGAAACAGGCCTAGTCCAGTGAAGCGTGATGGCACTGCGCCAATTCATGAAAACCTCAGGTTTGTTTACTTAAAAGAAAAGTAGTTGACATTTCCACAGGGCTGCCCTGCCCTGTGTGCTGGGACGCTGCTGGTCAGCTGGCTTGTGTTCTGCCAGGGGGCTTGTCCAGCAGGCACTGGCTACAGCGTGGCCGCAGAGAGATGACGGTTTTGCAGGAGAGAAGTAGCTCGGTGACTCCCTCCACATCTGGGTCTGGCGCGCGCGGCAGCGGTTTGCAGGCAGGGCGTCAGGCTGACACACCAGGGGGAACAGCGCCCCATCATGGTGATGGCCATGCATGGTGAGGAGGGAGGTCCACTCTGACCACCTGTCTGGTTCGTGGACAGGTGTGCTCGAAGATGAGACGTTCACTCTGCCAGTGTTTTCATTTACTCTTCCGCCTCGTGGAGTCCAAGTGACTGCCACTTTCCCTGGACACTAGGCTGTTCTTGTGCCCAGTCGGGACCAGCGTCAAGTCTGTACTTGATTTGATGGTCAGCTCATCTGAGTTTTGTGTAACGACTGGGTTACTTGGTTATTTATTTTGGCACAAAAATAAATCCTGATGCCCCTGACTGATTTTTGATTCCATTGTTTCTACTTTCTTTGGGAAACTACAGGTGGACTTTGAGTATTTTCAGGGAAGAAACGAGACTTTTAAGAATGAGCCATGTAGGGAAAGCAGTGGTGGGTTCACTTGGAATATGTTGGAAGAATGAGCCATAAATCCATTAGAATCAGAAGTCCTTTTACTGGATATTTTAGCCTGTAAAGCGTGGATTCGTCCATATTTTAGGATGATTAATCGTATAACAACGCAGCAACCAACTCAGGGTCAGTAGACCTTTTCTTAGAAGCAAAGGCTTCTGAGCTAAAACCTGGAACGAGTTAACATTGGCCTCATGGTCCAGGGGCTCAAGGCAGGAACACGGTGGCGAGTTTTCACCTCTGTTCCCAGTGACCTCGCTTGCTCTTACATCTGCTGGTCGTGCTGTGGTTGATGCAGACACGGCGGGCTGTTCAGTGCCGCACAGGTCAGCTGTACGCGCTCGTGCATGGTGTTTTCTTAGATTCGCCCCGTGTCTAAGAGCCTAGACTTGGTGGACTGGTGGAGATTTCTGGGCTACAGTAGGGACTTCTCGAAATGATTTCCTCCTTTCCAAAAATGACAAGTTGCATCATACACAGACATATGCACACAAGGTTATAATAAAAATAAAAAGCTTAAAACATACTCTAACTCTTCACAAAATGTTTCTATACAAGGTGAAGGAAGGAGCCCTTTCTATGGCTGCAGAGCGACCGGCAGCATCGGCTGACGGCACAGCAGGCGCTCAACTTCGTCTAGGTCGGTGGTTAAGATACGCAGCAAACACCAGTGGAACGGGTCCTTCAGGTTCAGTGAGAAGGCAGTGCTGCTCAGAAGCACGCCGGAAGGCGGATGTGGTCAGGTGGTGCAGTGTTCTGGTACACGTTGGAGCTTTGCGAGATGGTGCTTGCTCCCTGACACCTTAGAGCTCTATCTGAATGGCGGGCTAAGAGAACCTCGAGCGTTATCTAACGCGGCCCAGCCACCCTGGAGTCTCACTGCATTCAGGCATGGAAGGAGGGGGCTGGCTGCATGGCAGTGGTGCTGGCTTTGCTTTCCAGGCAGGGTGTGGGCAGGGGGTCCATGAACATCCAGGGTCTCTGGTGCCTTAGGTGACTGGTCACCCCAGCGGTGGCTCTCTCTGTAGAACGCCAGAGCCTGTGTGATCTCGTAGATCAGCGGTTAGCAAACTAGGGCCTATGGGCCAAGTTGAGCCTGCTGTCTGTGTTTGTAAATAAAGTTTTATTGGAACACAGCCATGCCCAGTCAGTTACACATGGTCTCCGGCTGCGTTCATGGTGTAATGGCAGCGCAAAGCTGTGAAGATTGATGTCTGATCCTTTACAGAGTCTGCTGGCCCCTGCCATAGACCAGAAGTATCCAAACTCCACGTTACCTTTTACACTCTACGGGTCCACGTGATGGATCGTTAGTGTCAGGAGCGTGCTTGCTGGAGGAGGAGGGCAGGCCGAGCCGAGCTGGGCTTTCAGTGACCACCTCCGCCCTATCCCCAGCCCCATGCTCTGGGCTTTGGGAGCTGTTGGTTGTATTTCCTCCTCAATTTGACTGTTAGATCTCAAAGGGAGATGTGTTTCTCTCACACCGAAATCTGTGAGCAGGCTTCTGAAGATTGCAGGAGTGTTCCTGGCTGGCACCTGGTTCCACCTGCGGTGAATGTGCACGCTGGCACTTCCCATTCACAGCGCACACGGACTACACCTTTATAACCACAGCCTGATTCAGTCTCAGCTATTTCAGTGGGTCACGGGACGTCAGGGTGGTAGTCCCACGGCGTCTCCTGGCGTACGCCTGGTTCAATCTCAGGCTACTTCAGTGGGTCACGGGACGTCGGAGTGATTGGTCCCACGGTGTCTCCTGGTGTATACCTAGTTCATTCTAGGGCTGTTAAATGGGTCCCGCGCATCTCCTTGCTTGGCCATGGAGGGTGCTGGGCAGCAGGCCTGAGGTCTCGCTTGCCAGAGACCCAAGGAAAGAAGTCCAGAAGGGTTGACTCCAGCCAGGACTCAGCTCTCGGGGTGTCCTTTTCCGTCCAGTTTTTAGACTGAGTCTTCCTGGGTTTTAGAAGCTCTTGAGATTGACAGAGTGGATCCTTTAAAGAAAAAACAAAACAGGGCATGAGGAGAATGGGGGTCCCATGTGCTCCTTTCTAAAGCTGCCTCTCTGCATCTTGGGCCGCTGCCCTCAGGGCCTGGCCCTCACTCTCAGATTTGTGAGGCTTGCTTTGTCTAAGGGACGGTGGGTTTGGGGAGAGCTGGGGAGGGGCGGCTTGGTTGAGGAGGACCGGCTGCATCCCGTCCTTGGGGATATTTGAGGCTCAGCATGGTGGTTTCCCTGTAACTCTGAGATCAGCAGGCTGTGCCTCGTCTCTGTCCTGGGTGTGTGTCTGCATGTGGTGGGCCAGGGGTGGGAGGTTGTGGAGAAGGGCGTGGCCTCCCCAGGGCTGTGAGGGCCGCAGCCTCTCCCTGCTTGTTGGTGTTTTCAGGGCATTTTGTGCATTTGTCTCAAGGATGGGTGTTCTCTAAGCCATTATTTGATCATTTGACAGTTAGTTGGGGGTTTTTGATTTGTTTTTATAGAAATTTTCTGAGTTTTTTTTTTTGTAATATAGTATCTTTTTAGGTGACTTATTGGAAATATATATATTTCAAATCCAAATTACATTTGTGGATTCTTAACCCTATTAGTAAATTGCTGGCCAGCCTTGGAGGGCATTTTGTGTTTGCTTTGGGGTGGGGAAGGAGGAGCTAATGCCTTTGATTAGCCAGGGACTGAGTGCCACCAGCTGCGCTCCCGCCTCAGGCGCAGCTCGGGGGTTTGCCTCTCACCCTGGACAGCCTCGTCTCCCCTGACTAAGGGCTCGCCTCAGGGGCTCTACTAGCTTTGTTGGAGGCTTAGGTGGTGCTTTCCCACCCATCCTTTGGGAACTGGCAGGGAGGCTGTAGGCTGATGGCACACTGAGCCTCCCTGCGCGGTGCCTTCTAAGAGGGCTGGGTGGACACCTCTCAGACTTCAGCAGCTCTGCTGCTGGCTCCCGGGCAAACGTACCTTACGCTTTCGTCAGTGTTTGACTGGCACTTTGTTTCCTGAAAGAATCAGAGACAAGTGGCTTAGTGAAAACGAAACGGTGCCTTTGATCCTACGGCTACCTCAGCCCGTCTTTTCTTGAGCTCAGATGGACTGCATCTTGGGGGACACCATGAGTAGAGGTCCTGACGCGGAGACTGACATTTGTGATCGTGTGCGCCTACGTGATTGAGGTGGGCATTGTGGCCTGACTGGATCTGCGTTCTGGGGAGTGAAGGAAGGGGGTGGAGGAAAGGGAGTGAGAGCTATGGGAAGAGTTGGAGGGCGGCCCCCTAGGCTGAGGCAGTCCTGCTGCTGACGGCACATGTGCGGCTATTCCTTGACACTCAGTAATGCAAACCAAGTGTGTGTGGCTATTTCTTGAAAATTGTGAATATAATATGAATAATAATAATATGGAAAATATTGTAGAGTTTGGGATTCTGTTATTTTGAAAGTACATAATGTATTCCGGCACTTCTTTTGGTAAAAGCCAGGCGGTAATCAGTCTTGTGACTACCTTGAATCCTTTGGGGGAAAGAACCTAGGTACGAGTGCACGAAAATAAGTGGAGATTTCCTGTATTTGCAGCCATCCCGCTTGGCCCATCCGTAAAGCCAGGCTTCCCAATTCTGCTCCCATGCGCTGTGTGTGAATCTGCATGACAGTGAGCCCCAGCGCCCACCATGCAGCTGTAGCCAGCTGTGTGTGCTACAAGCACACACGTGCACACACTGCTTCTTAGCAGAACATTCACAGAGGCTGCACATCTGGGCAGACGGATGGCCTGGCTCCGTCAGCAGTCCTGTGGATCCCACAGGACTCGGCCCCAGGACCACCCTTGCCCATTACCCAGTGAACTACACGCAGGACACAACATGGGCTTCCCCCTGAGATGGCACCTGTTTGGGGTCTTCTTGGTGCTGGTGCTTTCACAGCTCTCTTTGAAGCAGACGTCTTGGTGAACTTTGTAAACTCTTTTATACCTGTTGTCACAAGAAAGCTGTGAAGAACCAGACACTGAAACAGCATGTTGCCAAACTGCTCAGCCTCAGCTACATGAACCCACAGAGAAACACAGAAGTCTCTGAGAGGAAGGCCATTATTTTCTTAATAAAACTTTATCTATGGATGTGTTAAAATGTCCAACATAAAAATCACGTCACCTTTTAAAAAAATTAACTTTACTGAGATATAAAAAGCCCGTTGTCGTCAAGTCAATTCCATCTCATAGCAGCCCTATAGGACAGAGTAGAACTGCTCCATAGGGTTTCCAAGGCTGAAATCCTTATAGAAGCAGACTGCCACATTTTCCTCCTGCGAAGCCACTGGTGGGTTCAAACAGCCAACCATTTGGTTAGAAGTGGAGCTCTTAACCACTGTGCTACCAGGGCTCCTTTACTAGGTATAATTTACATAAAATTAAAATACACCCACCCATCGTAAGTGTACATTTTGATGAGCTTTCTTTTTTTAATATTAAAGGACAAAATGTGAAATTTAATGACATGTCGTCTTGAGACAAGGCCATCTGGCCCTGAGGCCCTTGGGAAAGTATAGCCTCATTTTACTTTGTTTTATGGGTAGTTCAGAGAGAAGTTTGAGAAGCCTTGGGGATGCGGGCTTTTGATGTGGGTGGTGTGGAACAGGAGACCTGATTTCAAGCCCTGCCTATTCTGTTTATTTACTAGGCTGCTTTGGGAAAGTCACTTTAACTTGTTAAGCCTCAGTTTCATGTAAAATCGGAATTAATCATACCACTTCTCTCACAAATTTGTAAATGATAATGAACAAGAAAGCGTTTTGGCCATTGTTAACATTCTCAAATGTCAGAGCCACTTAAAAGAGAAATCCAGGGTATTTGAGGGGCAGACTTCTAACTTACATGCTAAATCTCTAAGGTCATATTATTTAAGACCTTTCGTAAGACTTCCATGAAGGAATGAGGGAGTGACAGGACCTGGAATTAACCTCCCAAAGTGAAAACCAGAGAACTGGGCAAAATGTAAGATATAATAAGTATTTTCAAATGTTAGACAACAGACAGTGTGGGACTGTGATCCTTGAGAGTGAGGAAACAAATGAGATGAGCCCTGTGATTGCCCTGGAATTCAGCCTGGAAGTACTTTTTGGACTGCATTACAGGGAGGGGAAATCCAAGCAGTGGTCACACTAAGTTGAGGAGACAGATACAAGAATTGGGGGGAGGAAAATGCAGCTGGAATTTGTGGAGAAGAGTACTGGAGAGGATGGAGCTATGCAGAGGAAGAGCTGCAGAAGTCTGCATAGGAATCCCCTTGAACCTTTGGCTGAAAATTAAGATGTGCATGTATAGGGTGAAACCTATGGGAAGAGAAGAACTACTGACAAGCCGTGAGCTGAACAATTCCCAGAGCCAGAGTGGAGAGATCTTAATAACAGGCCATTCAGTAGAAACTCCAGAGGCCATGCCTCAGAAGTGGGGTGAAATTTAACCCTGGGATAGAAGCTACTCTGAAGCCACCCTAAAGAAAGTCTCAAAAGGGCAAAACAGCTGCAAATAACTGCCTTCTAGAAATGAAACCACTTTCTTAAAAAGAATACAAAAAAAAAAACAAAAACAAAAACAAAATCCAGCATACAGTAAAATAAAATTCACAATGTCCAGCATCTGATAAAAAATTACAAGACATCATATGAAAAATCAGGAAAATGAAAATCAGAAGAAAAATAATTGAAGAGAAAAAGACTCAGAAATGAGAGTGATGATGGAATTAGCAGACAAGGACCTCAAAACATATAAGTTTGTTCCACATGTTCAAAGATCTCAAGGAAAATAAACTATAATGAAGAGAAATGGAAGATCTAAGCGGGAACTAAATGGAACTTGTAGAGAGGATAAAACATGGTATCTGAAGTGAAAACTTTGTGGAATGGGATTAATGGTAGCTTAGACACTGCAGAAGAAAAGATCAGTGAACTTGAAGGCACAGCAATAGAAACTATCCAAAATATGAAGTGCAGAGAGGAAAAAAGACTGAATAAAATGAACAAAGCCTCCGTAACCTTTGAGACAATATTAATCTAACACATTCATAATTGGAGTCCTAGAAGGAGAAGAGAGAAATGGAGGGACAGAAAAAAAATATTTGAAGAAATAATGGCCAAATTTTAAAATTTTAATGAATGCTGTAAACCCAGAGATGGACAGACTCCAAACAGAATAAACACACACACACAAGTCCATCCTAAAGCATATCATAAATAAAATGCTCAAATGCAGTACTAAAGAGAAAACATAAAAGCAGCCATGGGGGCTAGGGGTTGTGAAAAACATGACATATAGTGGAACAAAGGTAAGAATGATTACAGTCATCTTGTCTGAAACTGTATAAGTCAGAAGACAAAAGAATGACATCATTAAAGTGCCGAAAGAAAGAAAAATATTGTCAACCAAGAATACTATACCCAGCAAATATATCCTTTAAAAAATGAAGCTGAAATAAAAATCTTTTGTTTCAGGTGAACAAAAGAGAGAATTCATCACAAGCAGATCTGAACTATTAAGAAATGTTACAGTAAATTCCTTAAGTAAAGGAGACTTGATATACACAAACTAATGAAGAATGCTGGAAATGGTAGATACTCAAGTAAATATAAAAGATTTTTTCACTTTCAAAACATTTAGAAAAGATAATTCTTTTTAGAGAAAAAATAACATATTGTGCAGATCAGAGCATATGTGGAAATAAAAAGTCTGACAGCGATAGTTCAAGGATGGGAGGGGGAAAGTGGAAGCATACTGTTGTAGGGCTCTTCCATTATACTGAAGTTGTATAATAGTAATTGAAGGTTTGTTGTGATAAGTTGAAGATGCATATTGTAACTCCTAGAGCAACCCCCTCCCCAAATAAATAAACTGGAGAAGTATAACCAATAAGCCAATAGTGGAGATAAAGTGGAATCCTAAGAAATAACTAATTCAAGAGGCAGAAGGAAAGAAAAAAGTAGCAAAGAGCAGATGGGACAAATAAAAAATAAACAGCAAGAAGACGGTAGGTGTAAACCCAACCACATTGATAGTTACGTTAAATGTAAATGGTCTACACACTGCAATAAATGAGATTGTGAGACTGGATACAAAGCAAGATCCAACTATATGCTAAATACAAGAAACTAAAGACGCAGGTAAGTTAAAAGTAAAAGGATGGAAAGCTTTAGGTAAGTGACGGGCTGTCCTTGTCAGGTACTTTGTGGGATGTCTAATACACATATGGCAGGCACTGGTATAACTAGCACAGCTGGGAGATGTGGGTGCTGTGGACACTGACTGCCATCCCACAGAATCCAAATTCAGATGCCTTATGAGTACAGATTCCTAAATCCCAATATAAACCAGTTCCTTCGATGTATTCTGCTACACATTAAGCCTGGCTTCATGTCCAAGCTCAAATTGAGCTTTCTACCCTTGCCTTCCTACCGTCCATTCTCCACAGGGCAGTGAGAGTGATCTTTTAAACATGTACTCAGACGTGTTACTCACCTGTTCAGAACCCTTCAGTGGCTTCCATTTCACTGAGAACAAAGCCAGAGTTCTCACAAGGATCTCCAGGCCCTGTGCGGCTGCCCCCACCCTCTGACTCCCCCCTCCATCACTCTGCTCCAGCCACAGTGGCCTCCTTTGCCTTTCCTCAGACGTGTCAGGCAGGCTCCTGCTTCAGGGTCTTGGCAGTTGATCGTCTGTCTGGAATGTTCTTCCCTCGTGTCTTCCTCCTCCAAGTCTATTAAATGTCCCCTTTTCCATGAGGCTTACCCTGACCTCCCTATTTAATGCTGTGGCATGCATAAAAAGTGTTTTAAGGTCACACTCACCGTGAGCACACCAGGACAGTCCTGGAAGGTGGCAGAGGGAGAAGGGAGGAAAGGTGAAGAGACAGTGAGGGGACGAGGCCTTGGAGGACACGGGCGGCCGGAGGGGAAGCAGGGCTCCCTGCCCGAGGGGCTGGCCTGCAGGCATGCAGCCCCCGTGGGGGCCCTGCACCCCTATCCTGGCACTCCTGGTCTCCCCTCTTCACCTCTTTTTCATTAGCACTGTCACCTCCTGAGAACTCGGCTGCTAACCAAAACGTCAGCAGTTCAAATCCACCAGTGCTCCTTGGAAACCCTATGGAGCAGCTCTACACCGTCCTATAGGGTCGCTGTGAGTTGGAATCGACGGCAACGGTTTGGTTTGGGTTTGGGTCACCTTCTAAAAGGCTACATAACACACGTTGTGGTTTTGTTGTCTGTCTCCCTCATCTAGAATGTCGGGGTTTTGAGGGCAGGACTTTTGTCTCTTTTGTCTGCTTTGTTCACTGATGTGCCCAAGTGTCTAGAACTGTGTCTGGCACACAGTAGGTCCTTAGTGATTGCAACCTGTAGAGTCACAGAACATTAACGAGAGGTCCCAAGAGATGAGCCCACCAAACTCTCCCGTTTTACAGATGGGGAAACTGAGGCCTGGAGTGCTGCCCAGGCTGCCTCGTGACTCAGTGGCAGAACTGAGACCGCAGTTCTCATGTGCTGGTGCTTGCGTATTTCTTCAGGGGGCTCTCAGGAAGAGAAGGGGGACGGCCCTCTTCCCGGGACCTGTGTGCACGCAGCCCTGACATCGGTGCGAGGTATAGGCAGCTGCTGCTCAGGAGTGCAGGGAAGGAAGACCCTGAGGTCAGGAGCCAGGGGCCCGTGTTCCAGGCATCTGCCACAGCCTCGAGCTGCACACCGTAGGCAGGTTACCCAGCCCCTCTGCCTCATTTTCCTAAACTGTCACGTGGAGGTCACAGGTTCCCAAACCGCCATAGCTACTCGGGCTGATGAGACTCAGGTGAGCTAGACTTTATGAAATCCAGGGCTTTGAGCCGGTTCGTTCTGGTTCTAACCCCTGCTGAGAATTTGCATTTCCACCCCAGATATGCTGAATCAATCTACAGTTTAACAAGATCCCCAGGTGATTCTTACGTACGATAAATTTTGAGAACCACTGCTGTACTAGTGGTTCTCAGAATTGTCCCTAACCAGCAGCATTAGCCTGTCCTGGGAACTTGTTAGAAATGCACGTTCTCAGCAGGGGGGTCGCTGAAAACACTTTGAAAGCCAAGAGCACAAGGAGAGAGAGCCAACTTACATGTGGTGGCAGACGCCTCCTTCCCAGACTGGAACGGACTTGGTCTCGGAGAACAGGCGCGTGCAGGGTTGGGGCACCTTCGTACAGGCTGTGGCACGAAGGAGAAGGGCTGTGGCTGAGAAGGAGCTCTCCCTGCCCAGCCCCGAGAGGGCTGCTCCGAAGTCCTGCCTGAGGCCGCCGCGGCCCTGTCAGCTCCCCTCTGGTCCTGGGCTGTCCGGGCGCCTGGGTCCTGGCTGGGACGACCCTGCCCCCCCCTTGGAGCCCCTCCTCCCCTGGCTTTTTGCCTGCCAGCACCCCCGAACCCCCGGCCTGCACCATCCCGTCACTGCCCACGGTCACTGCGGGCGCTGCACTCTGGCTGAGGCCCTGGGGTCCACGTGTGTCTCCGTGGCTCCTGGAGCTCACGGATGCTTAGCCTGCCCAGGCCCAAACAGCGGGGAGGCCGCGCAGGGGAGGCCGCGCGGGGGGGCTGCGCAGGGGAGGCCGCGTAGAGGCCGGCCGGGGTGCAGTGCCGTCGTGGTGGCGGGTGTCTGAGGCACCCGCTCAGTGGTCTGGGGGGCAAGGGGCCTGCGCCTCCACTCACCGAGCTCGCAGCGCCGGCCTTTGAAGCCCGGGCTGCAGGCACAGCTGTGGGTGTTGGCGCCGGGCACGCAGGTGCCCCCGTTCTGACAGGGGTTTTCTGAGCAGTTCCTGGAACCATCTGGAAACAGAGCCACATGGGTCGGTCAGCGCGGGGGATGCTTGCTGACGTGGCCGCGCGTGAGCCGGGCCGTGCGGTGGCCCCCTCAGAGGAGGAGGTGCTGTGGCCTGAGGGAGGTAGCCACACGCGGTCACCCCCTTCTCTCCCACGGTGCCCCTTGCAGGCGATCAGAGAGAGCACGGGTCTTGACCCCATGAAGAACGGGCAGGAAGAGAATGGAAGGAAGAAGGGAGGGCGGGAGCGATTCCCCTGACGCTCAGCCCAGAGCCCTGCCTGCACCTTAGGTTCTGGGTGACCACCTTCAGGGGAGACCCCAGCCCGCCCCCTGCTTCCACTCAGAATGCTCTCTCTCCCCAAGAGAGACCTGCGTGGACACTCGTCCTCGTCCTTCAGTGCCTGTCCTAGCGCCACCTACCTTCCGGGCTGGGCTGCCCCCCCTCCAAGGTCCCCAACCCTGGGCAGCCTCCCTTTCCTGGGCCTGCTGCCCCCTGTGTCGAAGTGTCGGACCCCCAGTCCCCAAAGCCAGGGTCCCCCTCCAACACGGTTCCCCCCCCAACACTGACGAGCAGTGAGATGCAGGAGCAGCCAGTGGTGGAGTTGGGGGTGGAGGCTCCCCTAGAGCCTGCTCTGTCCCTCTTCCAGCTTCGCAAAGATACTCATTTCAGTTCTTACTTTAAAAATCCTGAGAACCACGTTAAGAGTGAGACTCGGGTGTGCCCCCACCACGGACGATGATGCTCCAGAAGGGCTGGTCTCTCCCTCTGCCCCCTGCCCGGCCCACTCCTCACAGGGCCCCCACGGGGGCTGTGTGCCTGCGGGCCAGCCCCTCGGGCAGAGGCTTGCTTCCCCTCTGGCCGCCCGTGTCCTCCACCGCCTTGTCCCCTCACTGTCTCTTCACCTTTCCTCCCTTCTCCCTCCACCGTCCTCTGGGACTGTCCTGCTGCGCTCACCGTGAGTGTGGACCTTAAAACACTGTGTTATGAAAATTTTCAAAACCACAAAAAGAGCCTGAAGCCCTGTGGAGCGTCACTCAGCTTCAACCATGATCAGCATCCTGCTGATCCTGTTCGTCTGTTTCCATCAGTGATGCCAGGACTGACCACTGTCAGCATGATGGGTCCCCACAGCCTTTGCCCCTGGTGGGGTGGTAGCAGCAGCTGTCGGTGACCACTGGTCAAGGTCCTGTGTCCTTATTTCACTTGGGGGGGGGGTGTCTGGCTCTGTCACTCACTGGCTGGGAAGTCCCCAACCAGCTGTCTGGCTGCCCTGAATTCATTTCACCCAGACTCACACTCACGCCCCTTGTCGCGGCGCTTGGACAGCTGCAGGGCCGGGCTGGTAGGCTCGGGGGCCTCCTCTGGGTTCTTGAGCTGCGCCGGGGCTGTGGGTTCTAGGAGCAACAAGCCACAAGTGGTCACGGGGGGCCGACTGTGTGGAGACCAGGATGAGGGCCGCTCCTGAGCATCTTCTCTCCCTCAGGGTCCAGGGCACCCCAGCCTGTCACAGCCCGGCATGAGCCCTCCCACCCTGGGTGGACCAGCGTTTTTCTCCTGGGCCCAGCCCTCCCCCTCCGCTGACCCACCAGGGGCTGCCCTTGCATTTCCAGGGCCACCAAAGCCACTGGTGAAGCCACCCATGGCCCACAGGCCCGACCCCTGCCTCTGCGGGCCTCGTCCTGCTTGGCTGCCGCTGCTGCTCCTTCCTGTCCAGCACCGCACCCCTGCCACCACGCCCTGCTTACTGGGGGCTAGGCGCCCTCCTTCCTTCCTACCTGCCCGTTGCTCTGCAGGCTGCACTCTGGACCCCCTAACCGCAGCCCTCCCCACTTTGTCTGCTCCAGTGGCTCTGCCCCCACCGCTGGGTGCCCCGCACTGTCCCTCCTCCTGGTCACCCCTCTGCTGATCACCAAGGGCTGGGGGCATCCTCCAGGGCTCTGGTAACCCCTTTGTCACCTTCTCTGTGCATACCTCGTTTCTTTGTGCCTGGGGAATGCTTTGTTCGTTAACTGAGTTACTAGGCTTTCGGTCATTTTCATGACGTCAGCACCTGGCCTTCCAGGTGAGCGTGAGGCCCTGGCCCCTCCTCAGATCTTTAGCCCCTGGGGCCACCTTGGGGCTGCCTTTGCCTTGCGGCTGGGGCTGCCCTGGGGCTGGGGCCCACCTTGGGGCTGAGGGCCGCCTTTGCCTTGGGACTGGGGCTGCCTTTGCCTTGGGGCTGGGCCCACCTTGCAGGCATCGCAGGGAGGCCTGCTGGGGGCAGGCTCCACACCCCCTTCCTCACCTGTGAGTCAGGTGGACAAGGCCAGGCATCTGTACCCATCGGCTCAGGTGCCACAGGGCGGCCTGACGCACGGTGATGCAGGTGATCACTCACCCAAGAAGGCAGGACCACTGGGGGAGTGAAGGTCAGGCCTGCTGGGCAGCCAGCCAGCTCGGACCGGGGCACGATTTGACCCCAAAGGCTCCGCCCTACACACAGGAACGGCCCCCTCACAGTGGACACTCGCTTCTCAGACTGCAGTGAGGGAGGGTCACCCGGGCCTTGTTCAGACAGTTCTGAGTCCACCGCTTGGGGTGGAGTCTGCATTCCCAGCCCTCCCAGGTGCTGCTGGTCCAGGGACCCCGCTTCAGTAGCAGAGAACGAGGCCGCCCCGCGCCCTCCCGCCCACTGCTGCCAAGTGACGCTCAACTCCTTAGCTGGGTGTGCAAAGCCGACTTTAGTGTTTCGCCTTTGTCCCGGCATACCTGCCCGCAGCCTGTGCTTCACCCTCAGGCTCCCACGGGAGGCTCCTGGTAGTTGTCTGTCCCCACCCCTGCTGGGCAGCCTGTGCTGTCCCTACACAGCTGGGTCCCGTGCATGCGGCCGGGTCCGAGCTGGCCCTGGGGTGGCCTGAGCCCGGGGCTGCTCACTATGGGGATGAGCTGGGCGGGTGGCCGTGAGGCCCAGCCCATACCCCGAGGCATTGGGGGGACACTCACGCGCTCTCACAGTGACTGACTTGCTGAGCAGGCTGCTGAACCTGGCACTCACGCGTCCTCGGCCGTCCACCAGCTCGGAGAACCTGCCGGGGGGTGGGGCCAGCGAGGCCTGAGCTTCCTGCCTGGCCGCCTGCAGCCACCTCAGCGCAGTGGCTACCGCACTCTGGCCCCAGCGATCGGGCGGCTGATCTGTACCTGGGGGGCTGGGTCGGTGTCTCGGGAGCACCTCGGTCGCTAAGCAGGTGCAGCTCTGGCAGGCCCGCTGTGAGGGGTCTGTTTCTGAGCCCTCGGGGGTGCCCGGCCTGGTGCCAGCGTCTGTCGTTGCTGTCCCTCTGGGCTGTGGGTGGGGAGAGGAGAGTGGCTGCACGCTGTTGGGCCTGGGCTTCCCTCTGTCCCGCTCGTGCACCCCGAAGGGCATCAGTGCTGGGGTGAAGAACTGTAGGAGGGTGCGCACACCAGGGAGAGGGGGCTGCAGCTTTCACAGGAGCCCAGGAGCTGCCCCGTCCACCGCTGCAGTCACCCCCATTCACACCAGTCTGGAGCCGCAGGCTGGGTGGAGTCGTGTGCAGGTCCCAGCCCCAGCTCCCTCCGAGCCCAGGTCCTCCATCAGCAGGGCGGGCGGGGCCAACAGGAGGACCTGGACCTGGGTCCTGAGGGGCTGGCCATGTGGCCCCAGCACACACTCCCAGCGCAGGCGGCTCCTTTTTGGGTCAGGGCCAGGCCCTTCATTCTGAGTGCCCCCCAATTTCACCCCTCATGCTCAGACTCAGACCACTGGACGCTGTGAAGCCCTGCGCTGTCCGGTCGGCAGCCCCAAGGGAAGAGGGTCTGACAACAGCGAGCGCACCCCCACGGCCACAGCTCAGGGCTGCACTAGCGTGCCCACGGGAGGGTGACCTCAGGCCCCTGCCTGCCCTCTTGGGGTCCCCGTTACCCCTGGACCCTGCACTGGCCTTGTGCAGGCCCATGCAGGATCCTGGTGCCCAGCCGGGGCTGCCTGTCTAGCCAGGGCAGGACCCCCAAGTCCCGCGTGGCCCCGGCAGCTCCCCCTCCCCCACACTGGCTTCCCTCACGTGCCTTTCCCGGCAGGCGCCCCACGTACAGGTGATGATGTAGAGGTGGGCGGGCTCGCTGTGCATCTGGCCCGCCTCCGTACTCTGCACAGCTGTCACCGAGAGCTGGTACCGCCGTCCAGGTGTGAGGTCCCGAACCGTGTAGGCTGCCAGCTTCCCGTTGGGGATGTAGCGGCTCTTGGTGCTCTGGCTGGTGGTCATGTTGATGACATAGGCCTCCAGCGTGGTCCCCGGGGAGGGGGCGTCCCAGACCATGTGGGCAGAGGTGGCTGTGACCCTGGCCGCTGTCAGGTTTGCTGGAGGCAGGGGCCCTGGACAAGGCACAGGTGGAGGGTGAGGGCGGGGCTGCGGGGACCAGGTCTTCACGAGGACACACTTTAAAGATTTGAAATGGACCGCATAAGCCCACGAGAAGCCACGTTCCGTTCTCAGAAACCAGCACGCTCAAGTTCCTGGCACTCGTGGGAGGGCTTGCTGACAGGTGTCTGGGGAGTGGGGCAGGGCTGCTGGCCCCCAGGAGGCCACCCTCAGGTCTGGGGGTGGCAGAGTTGGGGTGGCAGGGTGGAGCCTGGCCTGCAGCACACCCACAGTGACCCCTGTTGCTCCAGGAGTAGATTGGGGGTGGGCTAGAAAGACTGGGCGTGGGGTCCCAGTGCTTCGGGGTCTGGGTGAGACTTGAGCTGGGCTGACTCCCATGCCCCCAGGCCTGCCCCACACCTCCTTCCCCCAAGTGGGCAGTGTCCAAGTTACCACAAGGGGACAGTGCTCCTGGATGAGGCCATGCTCCAACCCCACACCTTGCAGACCCTGCCCTTACCCCCTTCGCCCACTCGCCGCCGCCCCCACCACTAGTCGTGATTGGAGCGGGCAGGGCAAGCAGTCTTCCCCACTCACGACCCCGTGGAGCTTAGTCCAGAGTGGGCCATGGGGTGTCCTCACCCACCCGGGCTCCTGTGCTTGCTCTCTGTGGTCACCTGTAGAATCGATGGGCCGCATGGAGGAGGCATCAGGATTGGGGTGCTGGGTGCTTGCTGATGCAGAAGGCCGCCCTGATGGCTGTCCCAGCTCTGCGTGCCCCCCCCCCGTCCCCAGAGTGGAGGACACCCGGGGATGTCCCTCTGTTTCTTGGTGCCTTCAGTCAAGGGCTGGTTTCTAATGGCCACACTGGGGGACTGAGGGATGCTGGGAGTTCAGAGCTTCTAGAAGGTTCTGCATGGCCCAGAGGCCACACTACTCTACTCACGGGTCCACACGTGTAGCGGGGTGGTGGCCAGACTCTCGGTGGGGTGCTCCCCCGGCCCGAGCCCGCTGAGGGTGACAGCTTGGATGGTGTACTTCTTTCCTGGCTGCAGGGCCCTGGGGGAAGAGGCGAAGGAGAGGACAGGGGCGCCTTGAGGCCTCTGTGTCTTGTGCTGGCTGCCTTGAGGAGGGTGTGACCACGGGAGGCCACCTCGGGGAGGGGTAGATGTGGCCCCCAACGTGGGTCCTGTTTGTGTTTTTAATCTAAGCCACCCCCGTCATTCTCTGGAAGTGAGTAGGATGTAAATCATGAAAAGTCAAGACACCCTTAGAGGCAAAAGAGAACCTGGCCTGGCCTGGCATAGCTAACACCAACCAGAGAGAGGGCTGCTCACTTGGAAGGACGTATCCCTGTTGCGTCTGCAAAGGAGAGGAGTGCAGAGTGCACGCCCCCCTCCTGCCTGCCTTCCCCTGCGCCGCCCTGCAGGGCTGGCCTTCTGGAGTCCCTCCCCTTCCCCTGGGGCCATGACCGGGGGCTGCTGTGAGCCGGACCGCTGAGATGCTCCTATGGAGCTGGCCTGAGTTTCCATGGAAATGTTCTTAACCAGGGCTGCCTTTGCTCTGCAGGCCCGAGGCCAGGGGCATTGCGTCCCCCCCAGCCACGAGCCTGGCTTCCCTTCATGTCTGTCCATCCTCCGCCCCCTGACTGCACTGAGAAGGGGCCAGAACTTTCTCTCTGGTTGATGACTGGCCCACAGGGGCCAGTCTGGCCCAGGAGCCTGGGGTGTACATGGACCCCTGGGATCCAGCTGGGCTTTCAGAAGGAAACCTGAGCGTCACCATGGGAGCCACTGAACCTGAAGGGTCTGTTTCCACCAGCGGCTATTCTGAATGACTGACGCTGATTCAGATGCGCTTTGTTTTGTGGTTCTGTTTGTGTTTAGTTTGTAATGGCTTAGCAGAAGAGGTTTATATACCCAGTTTAGGGTTTGAACATGTTTTATTAACATCAAAATAAATTTAAGGCAATCCTAGGGGTCCCTAGGAGCCCTGGTGGTGCAGTGGTTAAGTGCTCAGCTGCTAACTGAAAGGTTGGCAGTTCAAACCCACCAGCTGCTCCGCTTCCATAAACTATGGGGCAGTTCTACTCTGTTCTGTATGGTCACTATGAGTCGGAGTCCACTCGACAGCAGTGGGTGGAGTTCCTAAGTACTTTTCCCTTTGAAAGGCGTTGACAGTACTCAAGTTTGAAAACCTCTAGGCTTTTCTTCTACAGACACGGGCATCGACTGGCCCCCGACCTGTGGTCTCTAAGCACCAAGCGCGCTCGTGATCTGTGCCAGCGGGGGTGGGGGGCTGATCTACTCACATCTGGACCCCAGATTTGTAGAGTGCTCCCTGTTCCTAGCACTCTTAAATGTGGGCACAGCACTCGCTCCTCCCGCGGCCTGGAGACCAGGCAGAGCAGGAGGGAGGCCCCTGCAGACCCAGGTGGCATGTCAAATGTCCTGCCCCCACCTGGTGGGAAACTGGGTGCATGATGAACTTGCTCCTCAAGGCAGAGCTGGGGGCAAGGACAGCGGGCATACGGAGAGAGGAGCCCACCACAGCCCAGGACAGATGGGAGGAGCCCCCCTGCCACCATGGGGGCCCAGGCTGGCCACGGGCTCACAGTAGCGGTGTGGCTACCAAGGCCGTGACCACTGCTGAGGGCCCGCCCCACGCATGGTGTTGCCTCTTACCCGAATATGAACTTGTCCACACTCCTGTCCAGGTCGGTGAACTGGTCCCCACCAGCCTCGGGATGGTGGATGGACACGCGGACTTTGCTGACTGTGGCATGGCGGATCCGGTGCAGAGCCCAGCGCACTGAGATGGTGCTGGCTGTCACGTTGGTGACCTCAAAGCCCTCAACAGGACGGGGGCCTGGGGGACACGGGGCTTCTCAGCTGGCACCAGCACCCCTGCTTCTCAAGGGAGGGTGGGGTGCGGGAGTCCAGCCGAGCTGAGAGGAGGCTCGGATGTGACTCCACAACATGCCAGGTGGTCCCCGGGAGTTCCCTCTCTCTTCTGCCCTGGCTGACTGTCTCCTTCATGTTAATGGTGAACATTCTGGGTGTGGTCTGGGGCATGCTTGGGCCAGGGAGGGGTGTCCTCAGGTGGACTGGGGAGGGCGCGGGGACTCTGTGAGCTCAGTCCCCACGCCCCCAGGCTTCTCAGAGGCAGAGAGCAGTCCCCAGACCCTGGGCCCACCACATGTCCATCTCCTAGAGACCTGGCTCTGAGGCAGGGAGAACCTCATCTTCCTTCCTCCGTCCCTCACCTCATCTCCTCCCTCTGTGCCCACCCACCCGATGCAGACCCCTGTAGCGGACAGCCTCCCAGCACATCTGCTCTCCTAACCCTTGGGGTACGCCAGGGCTCCTTGTGGTCTCAGGACACTGTGATGGCCGGACTCACGCGTGCGGATGAGCGCCATCACAGGCCGGCTGATGTCGTTCTTGTTGTTGGCGTTGCGCTTGACCGAGAACACAGAGATGCTGTAGGCCCGGCCGGCCGCCAGGGCCCGCAGCTGGTGGGCTGAGCGGCCACGGTCCACGAAGTCTGTGCGGCGGAAAGCGCCATCCGTCGAGGTGTAGGTGACCGCGTAGCCATCCAGCATCTGCTGGGCTGCCGGGCCCTCGGGCGGGAGCCAGGAGATGGACAGCCCGCTCTCCTCCACGCGCTCCACCTTGAGGCCCGTGGGCGGGAGGAGCTCTTCAGGGTACCGGCCAAACACAGGGGGGCGTGGTCAGGTGCGGTGGAAGCCCCGCCCCCCAGGCAGGCACCCCTAGCCGCTGTGGGGCCTGGGGACCCTGGGTGAGGGGAATGGGACCCTCTGATCGCCCCAGGTGGGCCGCTCCCGGGTCTGCCCGCGCGCTTTCTGAGGGGAGGTTGTCACATCCACACCTGTGGCTGTGAGCAGTGCTCGCCTGGGGGACCACAGCCCCGCCCTCCCTGCTCACGGGGGAGGAGTCTGTGTGGGGAGGTCAGCCCCGGTGGTGGGGGGAGGGGGTGCCCCGTGGGGGTGCTACGCCTCACCTTTGGCACAGTCCTTGCCCGTGTAGCCCACTTTGCAGGTGCAGCTGTGGGACCCATTGCTGGCTAGGCAGTAACCATGGCTTCCGCAGGGGCTGGAGAAGCAGGGGTCACTCACTGTGGGGACGGGGAGCAGCATAAGTGCTGGTGGCCGCTCGCAGGTGCCCCCACCCCACCAGGTCCTTGCTCCCGGGGGCACTGGGGCCTCCTGCTCTGCGGCTTTGTGGGGTGAAGGGTCCCCCCGGAGGGTGGGGTGATACTGGCACTTGCTGGGCAGTGGGGGGGCACACAGTTTTGCCCTCCTCCAGGGGTGGGTGGCTGCCTCAGTGCCCTGGCAGAGGGCGATTCAGGGTGCTGTGGGCACAGCGTGGGCCGGGGGGAGTGAGGCTTGGCCAGCTTCTTCTGAGCACCACAGCTTGGGGGGTTGGGGGCCAGGCCTGATCTCCGCTTGTTCCTGCTGTCGCCCCAGCAAACGCAACAACCAGTGAGTCCTCTGGGTGGGTGGGTGGCAGCAGCCCCTCGTGACTGTCAGCACCTGGCCCTCTAGGTGAGCAGGTGACGGCGGGCCCCTGTCACTGTCAGAGCCCAAGCCTCTGTGCACACCGTGAGGTGGGGACCCCGCCTCCTGGCCTGGCAGCTGGGTTAAGTGATCTGCCCACCCAGGCTGGGGCAATGAGACTGCAGTGCCGGGAAGTCCCCACGTGTCCTCTGAGCGGGTTGCAGCCACACGGATGGCCTCTGGCCTTTACCCAGCCCTCACCCCACCCCACCCCCCGCCTTGCCAGCCCCGCCCACCCACTTCCAGCAGCCCCTTCTCCCCAGGCAGCGTCTCAGCAGAAAGCACTTTCCTGATACTGAACCATTCTGACTGCAAATTGCTGTGTATCCATCTTAACGCTGCTTTGGGCCAGTGTGTCCCACCCTGGGACTGGGGTTATCTGTGCCCATCACTCAGCTGTGTTGCGCTGGACGGCGTTTACACCACAGCAGCCTGTTTGTGGAACTGAGCTCACAGGAGCTGAGTGCGGGCCCGAGCCACGCCGTCCTCGGGTTGGCCCAGCATAGTGGGGTCGGGGTGCAGCGTGGGGAGGGCAGCACTCCCCTCCGCCCTGGGGGGTGGGGGCAGAGAAGTGCGAGGGGCTGGAAGGGGCCGTCACGGGGGGGCCAGATGGACGAAGGCCGGGAAGGGGTCTCAGGACAAGCAGGTGAGTGGCTGTTCCCCGCCCACCTGCCCTACCTGTCTCGCAGTGGTAGCCAAAGAAGCCCTCGGGGCAGACGCACAGGTAGGCCCCACTGTCGTTCTCACACACGCCCCCGTGCTGACAGGGGCTGGAGTCGCAGGCGTCCACCTCTGGAGAACAGCCAGAGAGCCGTGGAGTCAGCGCCTCGCAGGGGCGGGGGCCGCAGGGGGTCTGGGGGAGGGAGGAGAGGAGAGCGGGAAGAAGGGAGGGGAGGCGAGAAACAGGCCAGGAGGGTGGGGCTGGGGGCGCCCCTGGGCGTGCTGCGGGACTCAGGCGCAACCTCCCTCCCTCCCCGGCGCCGCTGGGGGTCCCTCTCCAGGTGGCCTGCTCAGCAGGGGTGTAGGGACCCCTCCCCTAAGGCCTAGGCTCTGTGCGTGTCGAAAACACACTTGTGGGGGCCAGGGTGTCAAGGTGTCTGAGGGCGCAAGAAGGTGTGGGGTGGGGGCCAGCCACACGCAGGGGCCCACCGACGGAGCCCTTACCTGTCTCACAGCGCACCCCGATGAACCCTGCGGGGCACTGGCAGAGAAAGGCCCCCGGGAAGTCCCTGCAGGAGCCCCCGTTCTGACAGGGCCGCGCAGCACACTCATCGGTGTCTGCAGACAGGACACAAGGCTGCCCAGGAGTCCCCACTGCCTCCACAGACCCATCTCCCATGCCTCTGGCTGGAGCCCACCCAGCCCAGGCCGGCTACACACCCTGCCCGACCACGTGGGCTTGGGGTCTGGTCGCATGACTTAGAGCCCTAGGAAGGCATGGGGGACCCCCCCCCCGCCCTCCCCACATCTCTGCTCCCCGAGGCCAGAGTCGGCTGGAGGCAGGAGGAAGGGCCTGAGGTCAGCCCAGTGCTCAGCCTGCAGTCCTAGACAGACCAGCACAAGAAGAGGTGTGGCTGGTGACGGCGCCCTGGGGACCTGGGTCCCTTCCCCAGCTGCCTGCACTGACCCTTTGGGCCACGGCCAGCAAGGGCCGGGACTCACCCTGCTCACAGTGGACGCCTTCGTACCCTGTGCTGCAGAGGCACAGATAGCCGGAGACGCCGTCCTGGCAGGAGCCCCCGTGCAGGCAAGGCTGAGACTGGCACTCGTCGACTTCTGCGGGGGGCCGAGCCGGGAGGGAAGCAAGGCGGTGGTTATCAGGGGCAGTGGCTCAAGGCCAGGCTCAAATGGACACGGATTAGTTTTAAGGAGTCAGTTCAACAGAAAAGCCCATTGCCACTGAGTTGATTCCGACTCATAGCCACTCTATAGGACAGAGTAGAACTGCCCCATAGGGTTTCCCAGGAGTGGCTGGTGGGTTTGAACTGCTGACCTTTTGGTAAGCAGCCAAGCTCTTAACTCTTAGCCAGGGCTCTGTTCCCTCTAACAGGAATCAGGAGACTCACTGTCCCAGAGTTCTCTGACGCAGCCTGTGTTGGTTCCTCCCTCTGTAAATACGTAGAGTGTTATGGGGAGGCTCCTTTCTCTATTGCAGTGCTTGCCAGGGTGCACCCAGCCTGCTGTGGCCAGCTTAGGTACACCTCTCTGTGGGGTAATGAGCACCTGGGGTTATGTGGGCTCTTCTTCTCTCTTTTAAGCCCCCTCAGTAAATCCTGTTGTCCTTGACACCACGTTGTATTAGAGGTGTGTATGTCATGTTACTTTTATCCAGATAAGGAAGTACTTTTTTATTCCTTGTTTGCTAAGAATTTATGAATGTTATCAAATGCACAGTATGCGTTTATTGAGAGTCTGATACGATCTGTTTTCCTTTAGTTGGTTAATGTAGTAGTAGATGTTCTATCACACTGTCCGTGAAACCCTAACATGATAACAGTGCATATCATTTTTATAGACTGTTGATGTTAAGTGCCATCGTGTAGGTTCTGACTCATAGTCACCCTACGCACAACGGAACAAAACGCTGCCTGGTCCTGCGCCATCCTCACAGTCGTGTTATGCTTGAGCCCATTGTTGCAGCCACTGTTAGACTAAGTTAGTTAATTTTTTTTTTTTTGGTTTTTGCATCTATGTTCATGTGCTTATTGGACCCGTAACTTTCCTTTTCCCGACTGTCCATATCTGGTTTTGGTATCAAGGTTATACTGACCTCAGAGAGCAGGCTGGCACATAGTTTTTATTTTCTACTCTCTGGAAGAGTTTGGGTAATACTGCAGTGATCTGTTTCTTCATAGTTTGGTGGAATTTACCTGTAAAATCATCTGGGCCTCGTCTTTCTTTGTGAGGAAATGTTTTAACTACTGTTTCAATTTCTTTAATAGTTACTAGGATTATGCAGGCTTTCCATTTTTCCTTGAGTCACTTTTGGTCAGTTATATTTTTCTATGACTATTATGTCTATTTCTCCTAAGGTTTTAAATTTATTTGTATAGAGTTGTTGGTAGCATCCTCATCCTTTTCATCTCTTCTGTAGTTATGTCCCCTTTTCCATTTTTAAAGGTTTTTATTTGTGCTCTTTGTTTTTCTTGATCCATCTTGATGGAGGTTTGTCCGTTGTATTATGCTTTTTGAATAATGAATTATACCTTTGTTGACCTTTTCTTTTGTATCTTTGATTTCTATTTCGTTAATTACGGCTCTTATCTTTATTGCCATTCCTTCTATTTTCTTTAGTATCATTTTCTTAACTTCTGGAGTCAGAAGTTTGACTCATTAATTTTGAACGTTTTTTCTTTCCAACATGGGTAGTTAAAGCTATAAATTTCTCATGAAACACTGCTTTTCCTGCATCGCACGTTTTGATATGTAGTGCTTATTATTATTTATTGAAAAATATTTTATGTCCATTATTTCTTTTTTAACCCACAGTTATTTAAAAATAACTTAAAAAAATCCAAAGATGGAGATTTAAAAATTTATTTTCTTATTAATAACTAAATTGTTTATGTTCAGAGAGTGAGAATCGCATGGTTCTTAATCTTTTACATTTGTCAGAAAGGCTTGCTTTATGGCCAAACGTGTTACCAGTTTTTGTAAATGAGTCCACTGAGCTTGAGAAGCATGTGTGTTCGCTAACTGCTGGGTGCGGAACTCTACATGTTTCGACTTGACGGTAGTGAGTTTGGTTTTTTGGTTTTTGTCTGTTAGCTCAAGCTGTTAACTGTGTTGTTCAAAACATCCATCTGTCTTGATTTTTTTGGGACTCCTTAACGTGCCATTAATTGAGAGAGGTGGTCTTAAATTTTCATTATTATGGATTTGTCATTTTCTTCCTGTAGTCTGTTAATTTTTGCTTTCTATTAGGGCTATTGTATTAGATACTTGAACGTTGATAATGGTTGTATTTTCTTGGTGAACTGAACCAGTTAGTACTAAGAGCGACCCTCTGCATCCTTAATGGCTTGTTTCTGTCTTTGCGGTCTCTTCCCTCGTGGCGACACAGCCATACTGGTTTCATTTCAGTTTGTAGTTGCCTGATGATATTTTCTCCAAACTTTTACTTCTAGTCTTTCTATGGGGTAGGGGTGCTGAAGCCTGATTTTTCTGACTCTGCCCTGGGTCCCACTGGCTATGCCTACTCCGCCCATCCCCCCTTGGACCCGAGAGTCACCGTGGCACCGGGGAGGCTCGCTCCAGACCCCCTCTGGCTGGCAGACGCGGGCGTGGTTGGCGACACTCAGGCTGTAGCCACGGTTGCATGAGTACAGGGCCACCGCACCTGGCCGGGTGCCGTTGAAGCGCAGTGTGGCATGCTCCACCTCCTCGGGCGGCCCACAGTCCACCTCTGCAGGAGTGCAGCGCTGTCTGCCTGGGGCCTGCCCCCGGTTCCCCACCCTTTCCACAGAGCTGTGCAGGTGGAGGTGCCCTGAATGCACCATGGGGTGACTGCCTGGGACCCCCACCCCCACCTGCGTGCCCCCATACTGCCTTTCCCTCAGAGCTCTGCAGACGGAGGTGCCCTGCATGCACTGTGGGGCAACTTCCTGGGACCCCCACCCCCGCCCCCACCTGTGTGTCCCCATACTGCCTTTCCCTCAGAACTCTGCAGACGGAGGTGCCCTGAATGCACTGCGGGGCAACTTCCCGGGACCCTCACCCCCACCTGCGTGCCCCCACACTGCCTTTCCCTCAGAGCTCTGCAGACGGAGGTGCCCTGAATGCACTGTGGGGCGACTTCCTGGGACCCCCACCCCCGCCCCCACCTGTGTGGTCCCACACTGCCTTTCCCATGGAGCTCTGCTGACAGAGGTGCCCTGACTTTGGGCACTGGCTGCCCCAGGACCTCCCTCCTTTCTCTCTGGCCGGCCTCACCCACCCCCCACCCCACAGGGATGAGAACAGCACGTGGTGGGTCCCGCCCTCCCCTGCACCCCGTGCCCACACGCTTGGTGCTCACCTGCCTGGCACCGGCGTCCTGTGAACCCTGGTCGGCAGCGGCAGGAGAAGTCCGTGCCCAGGTCCTCGCAAGTGGCCCCGTTCCAACACGGGCTCCGGAAGCAGGGGGAGGGGGCTGCGGGGATGGGAGGGTCAAGGTGCCCGGCCGGCCCGCCCGCCTCCCCTCCCCCGGCCAGCAGTGGCGGCGCGCGCCCTCACCCGTCTCGCAGTGGCGGCCGGAGAAGCCCGGCGGGCATTCGCACTTGTACTTGCCGATGTAGTGGAAGCAGGTGCCGCCGTTGTGGCAAGGGCCCGAGGCGCACGAATCCGGCTTTCCTGGGGTGCGGTGCACAGGTCAGGGCTGCCCCGCCCCACCCACGGCCACCCGGCAGACCCCGACAGCCCCAGTAGAGCCGCCTCCACGGTGACCTTCCCAGACGCCCTCAGTCACCCCCTACTCTGCCCAGGCCAGTCTGGTGGCGGCCCCTGCCCCGTGGGGACGCACCGATCTCGCAGTGCCTCCCGGTGAAGCGGTAGGGACAGCTGCAGTGGTACTCGCCGCCCGCCTCCTTGCACGTGCCCCCGTTCCGGCAGGGCCCCGAGCTGCACAGGCGGGGTCTGACTGTGGCGGGGAGAGAGATGCAGAGAGACGGACAGAGACAGAAAGAGAAACGGCGAGAGAGACAGTGAGAGGGAGGGGCCGGTGAGCAAGGACCGGCCTCCCCGCCCAGCAGAGACCGTGACACTCCACTGGGGTCTTCTGAGTCACTGGGGCACTTTGGTCACTACAGGCCCAGGCCTGGCTCCACAGCTGGTCACCCGAGGCCAGGCAGCAAGGGGAAAAGCCAGCCAGGCTCAAACAGGGCGAAGATCCTCGTATTAAAAATAGAAATTAATGTCATGATTCTGAAATCGAGTTGGAAAAAGGTTGAGCAGGAAGTCAGGCAAGCCGCGCGGCAGAGCATGGACCGCCCGGCAGTTAAGCGGGAGGTTTGGCGGCAGACTAAGAGACCCAGCAGTGGACCAGGCAGCGTTCAGAGGTGGGCAGTGGGGCAAACATTGACCAAGAGTGTGTGGGACGGAGCTCCAGGTTGCCCGGGCGGCGGCCGCTCTCCAGGGTGCTGACACGGCCGCGGGGG